CGCAGTATATTTATAATTTACAATTTATTAGCAAGTGCGGGATCTTATTTCCGAAATATAAAACTGGCTTAGTGATCTGCGTATGAGTTTCTCTATACGGCACTGTCTGGTCAGGTAGTTTATCATCCAGATTGTCCCTTTAATATTGTCATCAGTAAATTTCCTTGGTTTTCTTGTCCTAAACAGCCTTTATTGATTACTTTTACATCTGATTTATTCAAATTTTGCCCGCCACTTTTTAAAACATTACCAGACGTTACCAGATATAATGCGGATGTGTTTTACATTGTCTAATTTAAACTGAGAAAGGCTTAAATCTTCCCAGCTTGGAAACAGAAATTCCAAACTCTTCTGGGAAAGTGGTAAAGAAAACAGTATACAATATCCTCATTTTGTCTAGAAAGCACCGTTAAGGTGGTTTAGACACCAAGTTAAGCCCATGTCATAATGAAAATAGTCAGAAAGCCTACACACTTTGAATGTGCAGATAAATCATAGGTGGGTTTTGCCACAAGCCGCCCAAACAATTAAACAATTTTTGGGAGGAATTCTGAAAAAAATAACAGTCATACACGCACGAATTTTTTTTTTCTTAGAGAAGAAAGCGGTTTTCTTTTTCCTGCAGATGCTCTACTGATTTCCGCAAAACGTACATCTCGATCATGTTTTTCCTAATTTCAAATTTAGGCATTTATTTTTATCGATCAGCTGCTTCATTGCATCATATGTTTTGCATATAAAGGAAACAAAAATACGGTAGACAGCAGAGGATATTTATACGAACACTGTGCCGACGACATCCGTTTTGATGATTACTTTCAAGCGGACTCTCCAGCGTCAGTGTATTTCAAAACACTAACTTTTAAAATATCCACCTTTTTTTCGGCGAAGACTATCGCTGTATAAGTTCTTACGATTTCCGATTGGTTCCTAGGTAGCTGGATTTCTTTTCGTTGTGTTTCCTGGAAGATCAAAGTGTTAGCACGATGAAAATTGCGATCTAAATAATTACTTACCATAAGAATTCAATCGTTCCTTGCGAATAACGTCTCGAAAGACGAAATCTTTACGCGTGGTCTGGTCCGCAGTCTTCGGCTGTAGTTGTTGAACAGATGTTTTCCGTTTTTGATGTCGTAAGAAATTATTTCGCTTCGCTGTTGCCTTCTGATAAATAGGGGAGTTCAAACTTTGTGGCAATTGTCTATCTAATTTTTTAACAGGTTTGAAAAATTTTGCCAGTAAATGCTGCGATGTTCCTGCTGTTAATAGTAGCGATCCATGAATTTTTTCACGCTGGTTGTTTGAATCAAGGCGTTTTTTTTCGTTTTCATGAAAAAGCCATTTGCCGTTGTAGCTGAACGCAAACTGTGTTTTTAACTCACTATATTTAGGCTGGCTGCCAAAGGCTAGGAAAGAATCAATCTATAAAGAGATAAACATTAAAATTAAATTTATAAGTAAGGAATTCCTTAGTTTCGGAATAATACGAAAAGAATATTGAAATCCTAAGTAACTTGTAGTATGAAGGTCACTTACCCAAAATTGAAGTAAATAACATAGTAAAATCCATTTAAAAAACTGCCAATTTGTGGGAAAAGTCCGAAAGAGAACTACAGCCATCACAGGAAGAGAGAAATGTTAATTAAACGTGCGTCTTGTAGAGATAAAAGAAGGAAACATAAATATATTAGTAGAGCCTACGCTTTTGACTCTAGTAGATTGCGACATAACTCACTGTAGAATAATATCAAAATTCATTAATGCCAATATATGTAAAATATACCCAAAGATGCACATTGAAAAGCTGTGAGAAAAAATAAACCCGAAGAATTGTAGAAAGAATCTATAAAACACCAACAAATATAAAAATAGCGATCTATTCAACTGAAATCACACACATTCGAAGGGCTTAGATTTTCACTTACAGTTCAGCCTCGAACTCATTTTTTAAAAGTCATTGGTAGCTGTTTTGAAACAGGAGCTCTTTTTCGATTTTGTTTGTTTTGATGTTTGCGCATGGAAATACGAAGAAGGATCACTCCATATGGGAAGCTAAAAATGTTAATCCACGGTCGAGTAATTATACAGTGCCAGTTTATTGGATAAAAGCTGGATAGTGTCAAATCAACAATCAATCCAAAGGAGTACAAAAGATAATCTTTGCTTTGACAAGCTCTAAATTTTTAATGCGTTTCTATTCTTTGCTAGTCAAAAAAGTGAATATCGACTTTTTTCTTTTCAAATCGACGTGCGTGTAGACTACGCCTTAATGATTTGGCAAATAACAAACACGGAATTTCCAATTAAGGGAGTTGTATTTTGATTTCTTACAATAAAACGGTTCTTGGCGCCTGTGGGTATATCTTCTTTCTGTCGCTCTGCGAAACAAGATGAAAAGGTGGTCTCCAGTGTAATTAATAATTTGGTAGAAATGTGGTTAAAAATCAGCCCGGGAAAATCAGCCAGTTGATATTTGTGGGTTGTTACCAGTTATGAATTTGTAGAGGTCAAACACCTCGTATAATGCTTTATTCCTTAATTGTCAACTCACTGAATCCCAAATCATCGGAATGATATCGGTGCGATAATTATAAAAAAAGGTCTACATTGAGTGCATGTGTACACTACGCAAATATCGTATGTGCTAAGAACACATATTGAGAAGGTTTGGAGTAACACGTTACTGCTCCCAACAAAGGTCATTTATTAAAATATGCTAGACTAATGCGGGAGACACGCATTTTTTTGGAACGAAGTTGTAACGGTAAAAAAAAAGTAAATAAACATTTTGTCGACATAACTGGCTGATATCTAAAGAACATATCTGAAAAAAATTATCAGTTTTGGAAATGAAGTCTCTTAGGGAAAGTTCATTTAATATGACAAGGTGGGGGGGGATGAAGATATTGAAAGTCGAAGCTTGAAATTTTAGCAGCCCCCCTCGCTAGCGGTTCAATTTTTTAGGAGCCCCCTCCTTGGTAGTTGAAAAAATTTCAGAGCCCCCCCCCCCCCTCCTCCTTCAATTCCTTTGCTCCCCTGAAAAAAGATCGCTAGACTGTATTAAATATATTTACCGTTATTGTCTTCAATGGTTTATACTATGACAAACTTGAGATACGGTTGTGATACAATTTTCTAAAGCATTTTTGGGATGAACAAGAGTGTAATAATTACTGAGACTATATTTGTTATATCTGTAAACCACGTCATATAGCTGAGTTGCACAGGTCATTAAATTGTTGAGTTGAAAACCATCCGATCTGTATGATGATGTCATGTGTTGGTTTTGAAGTATACAAATTTTCGGAGCCCCCCCTCCTAGCACAACAATTTTTTCAGAGCCCCCCCTTCGGGTGTCTAAAAATTTTCGGAGCCCCCCCTTAATATCTTCATCCCCCCCTTGTCATATTAAATGAACGTTCCCTTAGCGATTTGATTTCATTTGAAATTGTAAGAAAAAGGAGGGGAATTGCTCTGGCCGATTGTGAGAAAGAAGACTGAATTTGAATAGCCTACGCTAAGCCGCTTTTGTTCCCTTTTTTTGTATGCCATTTGGTCCACGCCTACAAATTTCATCTCTATTTAAACACCGCTCGATAATTTTTTACGAAGAACTTGACAATTTCGAGATTAATCATCGATTTATATCGCCTGCAAGTTTCAAGGGCATTGAAAACAAGGAAGTAACTGAGGCTTCCTGTCACCAATTTCGCCCCCTGATTTCGTTTTTACAAGAGAGCGTCCTCAATAACACACTGGACTATTTGACACTTTCACTCCTAATAGTGGCCAAACGAACAAAAAAAATATTCACAAAAATACCAATTTTTTGGTAAATCCAGAGAAGTTAATAGAATTACACAAAAGTTATGCCCAAGAGAGAGCAGAGGAGGTCATGAAACAGGGAAGGAAGTTACACTCAGGGAATGAAAGGATGAGGTACAGGTAGCCCAATTAGGATTTAATGGGGTCAATTTAAGCAATTGTGGAATTCTACAGATGAACAGTTATGACTTACAGATTTCGAGCAACACTAATTTGCCGTCCGTCGTCCTCTTTGAATGGTCCGCTTGGACGGAGGAACGGTGTCCTTATAGAGATTAAAATGATAGTATTCTTTACGGTTTTTTCAAGCCTTAAGTCAGGTTCTGGGGTAGGAGGAATAATTAGGGTTTTCGTGGCAGTAGGACTAAAAAATAATTGGCAGCCAAAACGTAGATACTTCTCATATTTTGGAACTTCAAAGCTTTTTTATGCATAAACATTTCACAGACGTGAATGCTCCCAGTTGAAGACAGTCTCCTTTCAAGAGTAAGAAATACTTGAAAATGATTACTTCAGTAAGGTTTCTTTTACTTCCTTTATGTCACATCGAGTTATTAGCCTTTGTATGTCAGATAGTGGAGTTAAAAGTGTGTAGCCGTCTAAGTTAATTGTACTTATTTGGCATTTTTGGCAGCTAGAAGTTACCCTTTAGTAGGGCGTACAGATTAGGAAACATCAAATTTTAAAAGAACAGAACAACCACATTAATTTTTTTCAGACCACTTTGCATGAAATTATGGGTAAACAAAAAACTGGACCTTCACAACCTGTGGTGGTGGTGGTACGAGAGGGAAACCCATTGCACCCCCCTTTCCCACTCCTTACAGATGTCCTTTTCATGATAATGTATCCTGGCAGGCGAATACAAGAGTGAAGCGAAAAGACATTTTAACATGACATAACAATGACACCAAAATCAAATTTTGCAAAATCTGTTGACAGGGAAAGTCTCAAGTACTTTATATCTCCAGTTTTGATAATTTAAGCCTTAGTGGCATATGTCATTTCAAGTAAGAGGAAAACCAGGAAAATTATTAGAAAGTGACAGTACCCATTGTTGGTAAATGCAAGGCAGGTATGTCCAACTAAAGCCTTTCAAGGCTTTTCAAATCAAAATAAACAGAAAACAAAATGTTATATTAAATATACATTTTTATTTCACAATTTAGTGACATTTAGGATTCCATTTTGACAGCATTCCCTGCATGACGTTTGTTGTGTTTTTTTGCAAACCTCTGGTTTCGAAGGAATTTTGGATCAACCTGAAAATGAAAAAAAAAAAAAAGAAAATGTCAAGCCAAAGGGAATGTGTCTATTTTTCCATTACCGTGGTTGATGTGCAACAGCTTAGATATTCAGAATCTAACATAAGTATCTCTGTTTCTCCTAAGGTAAAGTTGTATTTTTTCACACTCAAGTTTCTTAGTGTTTGGAGTGTTGTCAGCTTTACAGGTCAAAAACAACTCCAGAATGGGACAAAAAAGATGAAAGAAGAGGGGAGGAGAGAAAGTGAAGGGTGCAAGTCAAGTAGGCAGTGTCACGTTAAAACCCAAAAACTGCCTTCAAATTTTACCTTCTGCAAATGCCCATCAACCCTTGATAGAAGATAACAGCTACTACACACCTGCCCTCTGGGCACATATGCATGGGCATTCCATGTTTATGCTATCAACCAGGTAATTAAAAAACTTTTCACTTATACCATGTAGAGACACCTTACCCCTTTCAATGATGGGTGACGTTGCTTCTTTGGCTTTTTGATACCATTCCTATGCCACTTGTGGCCTGTAAATTAAAGTCAAATTCAAACAAGTCAAGTAAATTACTAGCTATGGAACTACATTAATTTTGTCACATAACCTGCGCTACTCAACAGCAGGGGACACTAGGAAAGCAAGTACAAAACAAGCATTTCAGTCCTCATTTCTACAGTGTATATGCAAGAATCAGCACAACCACAAGGATTAAAGTTTTCCTTTTTCTTGCCCTTATGTTTGTACTGCCTAAAATTCCTCTGTTTGTGCTTGCAGCACAAGTGAAAACCACCTAAAACCATAAAACAAGTCACTACTACAGTGGAACCTTGATATAACAAACCTCCATATAACCAACAATTTTTTTTCCCAGTAATTGTAAAACATATGGGAAAGAACCTCAATATAATGAAACCTTCTTATAGCAAACATATTTTGCCAGTCCCTTGGCCCTTCGTTATATTGAGGGTTCACTGTACAGTTTAAGGAAGTAGGTGTGCATACCGTCAACAAACACAATAAAATGCCATAAGCTCAGCATTAACCACGGAGGGGAGGGAGAGAAGTTATACGCAGAGGGTGCCTATAAAAGGAAACCTTCCTTAGGAAGAATTTGATAACTTTCCAATTACCCAGCCAAGATGGCGCACATGTTTTTGAATTCTCCCGTGTCTCACGACAACAATCTGAGCTACTGCAATGTGTTGCACTTTACTCCTAGCTTATTGCCGCTGAGGGATGTTTTGCGACGAGGAACGTTTTCGACTCAGCGGCAGAAATTCCATACTGATGACATAAATCAATGTTTTCATAATAAATCCAGTAGCCATGGGGTTCCAAATGCAAATTTGTTCAATTTTACATTTCTGCTGGTCGATTTTGGTAAAGTCTTGTGTTTATCTGCGAATGAGCTCCAGCAAAAATCAAATGCTACTTCTAAGAATACTATATTCCACAAATATTGACTGTTTTGTTAAAGATTCATCTTGTTTACATTTGACCTTTGTGGTCTTTGTCTTTTGTCTATCATTTGTAAACAATAGCTAAAACAGTGAAACTACTCTGTCGACCAATAAGCCCTTCTGACCAGATTCCGGACAGATTTTGCCTCATCAGTATGGAATTTCTGTCACTGAGTTGCAGACGCTCCTCCTTGTGAAAATTCCCTCAACGGCGATGAACGAGGAGAAACTTCTGCCATTCGCAGGCTAAGAAAACAGAGTTCATACAAAAAATTGTAACCATTTTTCAAGGACTTTTCAAGGACCACATTAGATTTTCAAGGACAACCTACTAGGAATATAATTTCACAGATTGTACAAAAATGCATATTTCCAGTATATTCTAATAAGACTTTAAGGCTTTAACTGTTTGCTTCACCAAATTCTCTACATTTTTCAGTTCACTTGTCTTAAACTGATAGTTAATTATCGCATAAAACATGGAGCACTTTATGTAAATGACCTTTACATTCACTGAGCTACGATTTATATTCTGTCTTGGACAACCAAAAAGCATCAAAAAATTCTTTCCGGGCTACTACATTCAAAGTTGAAGAAAATTCAAGCTCTTTTCAAGGACTTGCACAGAAATTTAAGGACTTTTCAAGGAAAAATGGAATTCAAGGACTTTTCAAGGACTTCCCCTAAAATTCAAAGACTTTTCAAGACTGTGCGAACCCTGGAAAATAACGACAAACACACTGTCACAAGGAACTTGAATTAAAATTGTCCATTCATGCATTATTCTACAGGAAAAATAGTAATTTTTCTCATTTCTACTTTATATTTACTGCATAAATTGTCACACAATTAACATCATTTTACGTTGCATAGTGTTTTAGTTTATAGTTGCAGCTATAGTTTTCCCTCAAAGTATTTACCCTAATACAGTGAAACCTCTATTAAGCAAGACCCCCAATTAAGAGGACACTCTCTCTTAAGCAGACACTGAGCCGGGTCCCGAAATTAACATTTTATAGTTTCCTTTATTATATAAACACCAATGAAATACCAAGTGAGCTTTTGCTCGAAAACTTGATATCTTCACAGGTGAAAATAACATGTTATCTTCACATGTGAAAATATCACCATTGCTATGGCTATGGCTTCATAATAAACCGAACATTTCACACCAAAAAGCTTTTTAAGTAAAATGGTTTGGCATTTCATTGGTGTTTATATAATAAATAGAATATTACATGGGCGCTTGGAGATACGAAATTTCTCTTCTCATGTTGAAAAAAATATTTCACTCATTCACTGCGCTCACTCGTGAAATATTCTTCAAGACGTGAAGAGAAATTTTGTATCTCCAAGCGACCATGTAATATCCTCTATTTATAATGAACCCCTATTCAGCGGACACCTCTAGTAATCAGACACGGACACTTAAATAAATTGTATTTGCCTAATTTCTATTGCTAAAAACCTCTATCAAGCGGACACCGGACTAAATTGACAATAGTAGTGTTGGGTTACATCCTTGAAATACATACTGCAGTCAATTTTAACAAAGATAAATCAATACATTTAGCTGTCAAAAGTCTTGCACAAAGTACAGCACAGCTTCCTTAACTACATGGAACTTTACCGTAGTACAGAGCAGACAGAGCGGTAACCGTTGAATGTTCATCATTTACAAACATTGCACAATTTTTTGTAACCTCTATTAAGCAGACACCCTCTATTAAGGGGACACTTGGGAAGGTTCCGAATAGAGGTTTCACTGTATTAAGAGCAAGTAGACCCCGGCAAGTAGACAGACGCCATTCAGAATAACAACAAAAACCATTTTGCAATTTACCTTAAGACGGAGAACGGTTGATTCAGCGAAAGGAAAATTAGAAGAAGCTACATTTGCTTTCGGCTACGCCTCAAGAAACTCACATACGCTTCTTTCCTGCTTAGCAACTTCCTGCGTGCATCCATAACTCGATGGTTGCTCGCTGTACGTTCACCATTTCTTCATTGGGACTGTTTGTGGCACAAAAATAGCACCCTCATCTATACACTAAAACTACATAGTAAAAAAGGTCTGCTCGTCAACAAAACGTTTACGAGGACTATTATTCTGCCATAAATTAATAGCTAATATGTTCGTGCAAAAAGCTATACAAAAGACTTAAATTTACCTTGATTGTGATTTGTGTGATTCTTTGACTTCGCCATGCTTGAACAATCTCTAAACCCCCCTTTTGAAGTCAAAGAAAGAATTTGCAAGAGCAGTTAGACTCACCGATGATTAATTTCAATAACTATGAAACACGAGACTCCGATGGCAAACAGGCGGAAAGATATTACCTGGATTGATCTATAACGACAAGCGATAAGATGGTTTGCAGTGAAGAAGAGAAAGATGGAGTGCTGCTTTACCGCTAAGACACCTGGGAAGTTCAATTCCAGTCTCTCTCGGCAACCTTTTGCGGCCCGTACTAATGCCCGTAATAGTTGTCTGTTTAACGTATTTACAGATGAACATGACATGTTTTCTGTGTTATTTTAGCAAAGCCGCTAAAACGCCTCAGCATTTACAAAGCGTCTTATCTATATGCTCCTATTTTGTGACTACAAGTTGCTGAGAAATTTTACGAATAAATTTATTTTTCTAGTTATTTATTGGAAGGCAGTGACCGGTAAAATGACCGCCAAACCGAAAGTTTGTCCGGTCAAATAGTCATCTTGGCCGGACATTATCCGTTGACCGGCCCTTATTTTGAGCCCTGTTTGATCGCCTCGTGGCAAAGATACAACGAGCTCTTCTTCAGTTCTTTCAAAGCTTCTTCGCCATAACGTTCCAGCTCTTGAACGCGCTGTAATTCTTCTTTGTGCTGCTTCATCTTGTATCTAGACCATTCTTTCAAGAGCAAAGTTCGTCTCTCTTGCTCTTCGGGCGATAACTTGAACGGTTTTCTCTTTACTTGGTAAACCTTTATATAGAGAGAAAACCGTTTACATAAAAACCCTTAAAACGGCCATAAATCGGCCCATGGACCACACAGGAGAGATGTAACACACATTTTAAGTAAGGTAAGCTGTTTTTTATTGAAATCGTTTCATTTTCGTAGGTTACGGAAACGATAGGTTTTTTTCCCATACAAATCCTAATATTTTGAATGTTACGCAGCAATGTCGATGCTCATATTTCGAGCTTGGGCTACCTGTACCAGAACGAACGAAAAACGACAACATTCATTATTTAGGCAAAACCAACATTGAGTACGGAAAGAGTCGCCATATTGGTTCCCTTCATTCGCAGTGTCTCATGGGATAGCTAAAATATTATTCCAAGGGAAGGGTGGGCACCCCGCTGTCAATTGAAAAGAAACGACCAACGCATTTCACATACCTGTCTCTGTCAAACGCTGGAAAATCAGAAAATCTTGAATGCCGTTATGCGGTGAGTAGCTGAGTAGATTATTTATAGCTGTACACTAAAAGAGAATGTGGAAGTAGCTGGCTTAATCATCCGTTTCCTTTTCTGCGTCCAAACTGTCGTAGTTCCGTGGTAAATGCACAAGTAGCAAAGAACTAATGAAACCTGCACCAAATGAAAACACTTTTCACTCACAGCTTGTTGTCAGATCAGAGAATTCTAATCTTTCTGACTGAAAACACTGGTGTTTATATAAAGTTCTATTTAGTATAATTGTTTCGTTTCTCGGAATATTCATTTGAAAACCCTGCAAGCGCGACGATGCTAACTCTCAAATGACATTACCGGCCACCGTAGTCAACATGGTCAAAGTGCGGAAGGGATACAGATTTAAATTAAATCCGGATAATTTCTCGTCTGAACAGTTTTGTGTTTTTAAAATTCTGGCACTACATTGAGTCTGAATATATATATTAGCCTAATACCTCGGTCTGTTGACAGTGTATTGAACATGGTATGAATTACATATATAATTCAGATATTCATACAACAGCCTTCTGAGTGATTCGCATTTATAATTTTGGTTCCATGTTTTAGATGGCGTCTCCCTTTCGGCTCTATTTTCTGTCTGGCGTTCTCATTATTACTGCATGGTTGTCACTTCGCAAGTTGTTCTACCTTGGACATTTGTTCGGCTGAGAGTTGTTGGGCTTCAGATCAGCTCTGTCAATTTATTTGGGTCAACCGAGCCCATATGACAGAAAAAATTCGCGACCGATTAAAGTACCGACCACACAAGCACTTTCTCCGTTTTAAGAGTCCTGTTTATTATCTCAACACAGAGGGGAAATGGAAACAGGCGAGGGACGAGTTTGAAACATGGGTATCGGTGGCTGATACACATGAATACATGCTTCATTTCCCTCACAATTTCAACGTCTTATCGCTAGGAACTATGGGAATCATCACGGACGATTTCCGGGGGCCTGGTGGGAAGTGGAACATTTCAGGGTACTGCAACGATCCCTGTGCCAAACTTATGAAACCCCGATGCTCTTTATCTTGGAGAGACATTCAGGAGTTTGTGGCTAATGTCACGGTGAACGACAAGCAGGACTGGAACTACATCTGTTTTCAGCTCGATTATGATGTTAATGATGTGATACGAAATCCTAACACCGCAATACCGGATATATTCTACTACTGGCGATTTTTAAGGCAACTGTTTTCGAAAAGACCTTATCTTGGAAAAGCGATTTCAAAAAACGACTTTGTTCATTACAAATGCTTCGACAAGGAGGGCCAATTGCATAAGAAAGAACTTTTAATGAAATACGTCGTGATTTTGATCATTGCGATCATTCTCTGGCTTTATTCGCCGCTCCTCATTCACTTCTTTCCAAGTTCGCAACCACCCCCGATTAACTGCCCCGTGGGACGTCTCGACCGCAAGGCCTTCTGTCCCACCTATAGAAGCCCGGTTTACCTCGGACGTTTTCTACGGTACATATTGTGCTTTTACATGGAGGAGAAAAAAGGTATCAAGTCGCGAATTCGTCGCTTTCTCTTCGTCTCGTTTTCCTTCTTGATATCATTTCGAATGTGGTATACATCCTATCAGAATTACTTCGTAATATTTTCTCTGACCTTTCTAGTTGCAGCATTAGTCCCAGAATTTTTTAGTGTCTATCTCAAAAGTGATCTCCCCACACATTTTCTAGGGCTGTGGAAATATCCTGAAGGAGTATTTCGAGAAAGTGCACAGAAAAAAGAATACCAATTCCTCGCCCATTGCATGTTAGAGCGAATTTACCTCATATCAGATCGCCGGTTTTGGGGAATGTTGATTGAAGAAAGTTTCAAGGCACCTCCAGCCTTCTTCGCGAAAAATTGGGCAGAACTTTACAAGGATCATCCATTAATTGAGATCGGTATATCTGTGTTTTTTTGTGTTGCTTCCTTCGCATTCCTTATAACAGCTACTCTTCTTTACTACCTTACACCGGCGTTTTATTTTTACAAAGTACTATTTCTGGCAATTTATACAGAAACGATAGACAATATGAAAAAGGCGTGGCACAAACAGTGGGATTGGCGCCGATACAACGTCTTTCTTAGCGCTATATGCTTCGTTCATGGTGTTATTTTAGCTGCGTTTCTCGTCTATTTGATTGTAGCTGTGATGTTCTGTTGTTACCTGCTGGCTGAAGTTACAATGTTCACTTATATTGGGGCAGTACTGGTTCCAACTATGGCTTTCAGATACGTTCTCCTTGTTGGTTCTGTTTCCATTGTCCTGTATAATATTGCCAAAGATTTGCGCGAATATTATGACAGAGTTCGTGACGAAATCGTTAAAATACTTGAAAATTCGGACCATCTGACTCGACTCAATAGCGACCGTACTGCAACAAATTCACAAGCTTTTGAAAGGAAGGTTCACACTAATGGTGCATTACTGACAATAGAATTGAAGAATGACCCACAACCTCCAAAACTTATCCTTTACCGTGATCATTTCGCCACTTACTTGTCAAGAACCTTGCTCGATTTTTGTATCGAGGCGTACGCCCCTCTGAGAAGACAAATGATGTTCATCACTGTGGAAGTGTTTCTGATGACATTTTACGTTTTGACTGCTATGTGGATCAAAAATGTTTTTCACAAGGAGAAGGACATTAACGTCATTTTTACCATAGCGAAAACCATAGGGGTGTATTTCGTTCCAAATCTCCTTCAGTTCCTAGCCCACAGGAGTCACTTTGGAAAGAAAGACAATGTGCTTCTTTCCCAGTGTGTTCACAATGCAATTATTGGTTTTCATGTGGCGTGATCAAAATTCGAAATGAAGAATTACCAGTCCTTCGAAACTTTTAATTTTCTGAGATATTAAAGCAGATCAACACGTAACGTTTTACAATTTTTTGGCTCTTTAGGGTTTTTCGTTTAGCGATGGAGCACGTTGGAATTTCTAAGCTTTCGCGTTACGTGACAACAAACTGGCGGCCGATAAACTCTGAGAACTCTGTCATGTAGGATAAAAATTACTTATCTTTCAGTTGAGATTTTGCTTCCTAAGCAGTCCTTTTATAACAATAAGTCTTGATCTCAATGTTTACGTGTTTCCGAGTGATGAGTACTGGCTTTTTATAGCAAAACTCATGGACACATGTCCCCGGGCACATGTCACAGCGGATTTGGACTTCCCCCCTACACCGCGGATTTGGACCCCCCAGTCCAGATCCGCTAGCAGATATGGATCCTCTTTCGCGGATTTGGACCCCCCTGAAAATAAGCGTTCTTTTGCTTAAGGTAATTAAATTTCTTTGCATAATGTTTTTTGAGTTGGAGAAAAGGCAAAATGAAAATATTATTAGGTAGATTTTTCTTTTCAAATGATCTTTATTGCTTAGAGTTATACACATTTTGAAAACCAAACCTTCTCAACAATAACTTACAATACTTTCTATACTAATTTAAAGCGAATTTTTAACAAGCTATATTTAAATAGTAATCAAACGAGAAAATGGTAATTTCCTGTAATATCTGGTGATGAGGTCGTACAGAAAGTCTGCTTCGCCTAGGAGTAAAAACATGATTGAATGAATGACCCTCCCAATCAATTTCTTTCCGCAATAATTCAAAATAGTCTTCGATTCTAATTGACATCTACACTGTTGTTCTACTCTATTCGATACTTAAATTCCATTTAGCTTCCAATTACTAACTTTTTTCAATGATTGCGTGCGTCGTAACAATACAGTTTGATGTTGTAAACGTCAAGAAGTTATTTTTTTGTCTTTGTGCTACGGAAAATATATAACATTCATCCATTCCTTTTGCAGATTTAGTTTTCAGGGGCGCTGCCTCGGGCCATTTACTGAAATAGCAAGTGCAATTTATCAGGTACTTGTTTCCTTGCGACGTTTCAGGGAGGGGACCAACGAGGTCTATACCTATTCGATGAAACACAAACAAGTTTGTCTCAGGAGTGATAGGCATGTAGAATTCGTTCCTGTTCTTTCTTGTCATGCACCCGTCTCTTCGGATCACTATTCTCATTTGCGACGAAGAACAGCGCACTGTCATCCAAGAAAAACGTTTTCGCCTTTTTTCGCAGGTTTCGCTTTTGGTCTTTTGTCCAGCCCTCAGGATACTGATTATCTCGGAGATACTGGAAAACTTGGTTGTATAATTTGGTCTCAGCCATGTCAGTCAAACAGTTATAAACGGAATGATTACTATACTCGCTCTTGCGAGGGACACTTTAAATACTTTTAGTGTGAGCGAAGTTTATTGGTCAAAATTTAACTGTTCATTCTTTTGTGTTACTACAATTGCTCTATTTATGAAACCGCGCAATTTCTTTCCCATCTCTTTCTCACCTCAAAGTAGGTCTGTTAGAATAAACAATCAGAACGTTTCCTTTAAAGCGCCGACCGACTATTTAAACTATCAATTGAAACAAAAAGAACTTTAAAATAACAATGCTTTGAAAGACGAGTTAAAATTCGCATCTACTTAACGAAATGCCACAGCGCGTGCTTTAAACAACTTTTACTGAAACTCAAGTATAACTTCGCTTTTTCTCCTTATTGAAAATTAATACGATAATTCATGACTGGGATCTTCTGAAGCCCTGTAGTCAAGTAAACTTCTAAGAACGATTCTTCCAACGAAGAGGTGTTACTTCAAAAAGGTGGCACCTCTTTGTGGAAGCGCCGCCCATTCAAACTATCCGAATGGAAGAAAAAGCAACGCTTTCCGAAAAAGACACAGCGGGGGCTTTCAACAACTTTAACTGAAGCTTAAGTCTGACTTTGCTTATTTTTCCTTATTAAAAAAATAACGCGAAAATTCTATGAGTTCCAAGTGCGTTATTTAAGCATCTGTCAGGAAGGAGTTAAAATTCACATCTTAGATCTACATACTTTTCGAAATGCCGCAGCGAATGCTTTAAACAACAAATTAACTGATCGAAGTCTTTTCCTCAAGTTTCCCCCATCCAAAATTTAACTCTGTCTCGATAAACAGTTAAATAAATAAGCTGTAATATGGGGGGTCCAAATCTGCGAAGGGGGACTAAATCCGATAGCGGACTTTGTCCCCCGCGGGTCCAAATCCGCTACTAGCGGATTTGTACCAGGGGGTCGAAATCTAGGGGGTCTAAATTCGCTGGGACACCCATGATTGTGCCCCTCGGAGAGACACCAACATGGCGTCTCCATGCAAAGCTCTATAAATTTGGGTAAAACATTTCGCCGAATATCTCGCGCGCAAAGAACCGCACAGACCTAGAACCTGACCTGAATTTTTGCATGTTTGTCCTCTTTTCTCTCATAGATTCTTGACTTTATACATTGATTGGTGTCGATTTTTATTTTTGATGGCGTGACAGTAAAAACCAAGAATTGCTTACCTACGTGGCAAAACAGTGAAGCCATGACCAGGGTTACTTGGGGCCCGTTTACAAGGGGCCCGTAAATACAGGAGGCCTCCGGCTGTCTATAGCTAGTTGACACACGTCGAGGTGCGTTTTCATAAGGAGTGGTGCGATGTACTTGGAGTATACGCACATGGCTGTACCCATTTCATGAGTCCAGGATTCCTCTTTCGTGGGTCTTATTCGTCCGTAAGGTCCCCGCTATAAACACCCTTCTTGTAGAATCTTTGGAACAGATATAGCACGATGGACACGGATTAAACCACAACAGAATTACTTTTAGTTTAACATGGCCGATCCTTCCGCTTACGCGCCCCTAACATCAAGTAAGACTCCCCAAAGTAAGCATATGAATTACTTCGTGTAAACGAAAACGAAACACCCTACACTTTTCAAATATTTAAATAGTATGACAACTACAAGAATCAAAACGACATCGTGTTGCAGTTGAGATTGGAGTATTTCTCATTTTCATTTTGTTTTGTACTGATCTCAAGCATTTCCTGAGTAACGGCATTTTGCGAGGCTCTCGATGTGTCGCGAAAACGGTCATGAAAAATGGCTAAGAAGTTAGGGATCATGTGTATATAAGGCACCTGTCGACCGACTCTCGGTCGACAGAATGTACCGGGCCGACTCTCGGTCGATATTTCGGTCGACCCTCGGTCGCGAGTTGGTCGATACTCCGTCGACATGTCGGTCGACACCTTTTTTATTTGATCGATCTGCGGTCGCCACTATCGGTCGCCACTCGATATCGATATCTTGGTCGATGACCCACCGACAGGTCGATCATTACGTCTCGGTCAACCGTCGGTGTCATATCGGTGACATATCGGTGGACTATCGACCGTCACACATATCAGCCGACAGGGTTGATATGTCGGTCGATAAAAAAGCACTTTTGTCGACAGCTTGAAATCAAAGGCAGATTCTAGATATTCTAAAGTAAAGAAGAATGGCTTTTGAACGAGTATGTACAATGCGCGATCAACTCTGTTGAGAGCTTTTCTTGGTCAAAATGGAAGCATTTAATGGGTAAATTTGGTTTATCAACGGAGTTGATACAACTCCATTGATAAACCAAATTTTCGTGTTTCACTCCCCCACCGACGCAGCACCACAGTTTCTTCAGAAACTCACCCCCTTTACTCATTTAATGGGTAAACGACTTCACGCAGGCGCAGTGTGACCGGAACCAGGACTGTAAATTGAGTGTCGGCCGATATATCGACCGACTGTAGATGTACCTGTCGACCGAGTATCGACCGAAGGTCGGTAGCTTATCGGCAAACTAGCGGTCGACTATCGGCCGACATGCATGTCGGTCGACAGAGGCCAATTTGAGCCGATGCTCCACCGACATATCGACCGAGTGGCGGCCGATATCAAGACCAAGTGTCGACAGAGTATCGACCGACACTCGATCGACTCTCTCGACCGAGGATCGACCGATATATCGACCGAGAGTCGATCGATACTGTCGACCGAGAGTCGGTCGACAGATGCCTTTTATACACATGATCCGAAGTTAGTACTGTTCCCTACGACCATAGGTACGTGCATTTACAATCGCCACTAAATGAGTCTTAGATAGTTTTGATTGAGATTTCCCGTGCGCTCGAAGAGCAATGCGATGAAGTATATCCAAACAGTAGTAATGAAAGAAGAAACACTAGGAACAGTTTCTTTTTCACTCCCATCAGTTGATAAGGGCGAAAGAGAAATAGCACGAGTACATAAAAACACGAAAAATCACATTAGACATTGATCTCACCATAATGGTGCAGGTCTTGACATTAGAAAGTTCTATATCATTCTATAACTGATCTAGTTAGAAGAGCTCTACAGTGATTAGTATGTGTAATCAAATGGTGACGAGTGAAATTCCCTAATTTCAATAGTATACCATTTGATTACCTATTACAGTGATGCCAACTCCTCCCGCTTTTGGCGGGAGACTTACGCTTTTTTGCCTCGTCTCTCACTCTTCCGCTTTGGTACATAACTCTCCCGCTTTTTAACATTGAATTCTTAGTAAAAAATAAAACAGACTTAGTTTGAGATTTAGCCTATTTTTAACTGAAAACTTGAATTTTTCTTATTCGCAGTACGGTTTCTGGGGCATTTTTGCTCGTATTTAGTCATTGACAAAGATTATGTCTAGCATCAAAACGATGATTTCGAATTTTGATAGTATGTACATCATGTAAGACGTCATATAATGTCCTAAGTCATTCCTATTGGGGGTCAATTTTTCGGGGCGGGAAGGGGGGCTCGTTGAAATTCCGGGGGGTAGTGAAAAAAAGTCAGTCTCCCGATTTTGGGTCTCCAGAGGTTGGCATCTCTGCTATTAATATCATGGGTGACGAATTACTTTAGCAATCTTG